CTGGCAAATTTTTTAATGAATTTATCGCGCAAATAATTAAGAACAATAGGCAATTAATAAGTTTAAATTCAACAATGAAAACCCTATTTTTTTCCTTTACTTTCCCACTGTTTCGAAGAATCCAACTTCGGAGCGCTCTTCTATTTTTCAACCCCTTCATAGAGTGCCCTTCAATTAGAAGAAATACGATATGTCAAAATAATATCTCAGCCAAGATCCAGACTTTTTGCTCTAGTTCAGTGCTCGACCGGCATTCGACACTGACCCACATAGTAAACGAGGCAGGTTTTTTTTTGGTTCCGGTCAAGGTTACCCAAAATTCGGCTTTCGGTTTGCGGGACAGTTCGGTTCGGGTCAAAACTCAAACCTAACCGAAACCCAAAACCCGACCCGATAACTACCGTAAAGTTCCTAACACACTCGCGACGACCGACATTCGACACTGACCTACATAGTAAACGGGGGAGGCTTTTTTGTAAGCCCAATTCTAGCGTCAATTATTCAATATTTTTTTCATCAAAACTTCGCATAAGTTGCAAAATAAAAACACGCTTAATCCAATGGCGTTGTCAGATTTTTGGCCATATTTATGGGGCAGGTGGAGTAAACGCGTCAAAAATAAATTTAGCATAATAATAAAAATTTCTTTGCTAACATCTGTGAAACTTAATTCTGCATTTAACCTGAAATTTTGGGCAGAGCCCAAGCCCAAAGTCAGGGGGATCAAAAAAGAAAACGAGTCATTTTCAGAGGTCTAGTTCACTAGTATAAAAGCATTATTTGATTGTATATTATATATCATTTTATTGCCCATCACGTCTACTTCAAATCTTGTATTAACAGTTTTTTTTTATTGAAAATAAACCACAAAAAGCTACGAACTAATATACCAAAAGTTGCCTTTTACATGTTTTCTAAAATGCGCTCCAAAAGCTGTCTACTGTAATTTGTAACTGATTTATAAATTGAAAAAATATCTTGAAGTCGCTAGCTACAAAATGAATATAAACTTGCCATAGTTTGAATAGATATTAGGGTGGTGCAAAAGAAACTGCCGATGAGTATGAGCTCTCATTTATCAGAAACGAGCGATGCTAACGGCATTATTTTTTATGTTTTGTTCGCATACTTGTTTGCTATTTATTTCGACATTTGAATTTTTTGATTGTTGTTTATTTTATTTAAAAATGCTTATATTTTTTATTTAGATCATGGTCGAGCAAGTTTGTGCTATGAGCAGCATTACTGTTTAACTTCAAAATTGGAAAGTCTGCTGCCGAATCGCATCGTTCTCTCTGTGCTGCTTTCGGAGATGGCAGTTTGTCTCTCAGACAGTGTCAGACTTGGTTTCAACGATTCCGAGAGGGAGATGAGGCTTTGGAAGATTACGAGCACGGTTCGAGGCCAGAAGTCGTGAACGAAGCCAAGCTGAGGGACGCTATTCAGGCCGACCCATGCCAATCTGCTCGAGATCTTGCGAAAATATTCCATTTGTGCTACGAGCAGCATTACTGTTTAACTTCAAAATTGGAAAGTCTGCTGCCGAATCGCATCTTTCTCTCTGTGCTGCTTTCGGAGATGGCAGTTTGTCTCTCAGGCAGTGTCAGACTTGGTTTCAACGATTCCGAGAGGGAGATGAGGCTTTGGAAGATTACGAGCACGGTTCGAGGCCAGAAGTCGTGAACGAAACCAAGCTGAGGGACGTTATTCAGGCCGATCCATGCCAATCTGCTCGAGATCTTACGAAAATATTCCATTGTGATCATGTCACCATCGAACACCATCTTTTTTTGAATTTACCGTCAAATCGGCAGTTTCTTTTGCATCACCCTAATAGTTTCAGAGAAATAGGGCTGCAAAGTTGGATACTCCGTCCCCAATAAATTACCCTTTGTCCCCAATAAAATACCTGCCGTGGTAGAGTGATGAGATTTACTACTTTTGACGTGCAGATATGCATCAATAAATTAAAGTTTTGAAAAAAAGCCACCAAATACACCATACTGTCGTATTTGATTAGAGCTTTCAGAATCGAAATCACAATCATAGTTTTTGCTTGGGATTTTTGTGCGTAATAACGTTCCGAAAAAAAAAAACACACACACACACACACACAAAAGAAATTCTTCTGCGAAAGAAAGACAGAGCTTCTGCGAAAACTTGGAAACTGTAAAATCGTCATCAACTCGGCTCGCCGAGGTGCACTACTATTAGAGCAAATACGGTGTACCAAATCGTACCAGATCAGGAATTTTCTGAAAAATGACACAATCGTCTCACTGTGGGTTCACAATCGGCTCAATCCACACTCAATCAGCTCAGTATTAGGTCTAGAACTTGTAAGCAAGTCTTACAGAACCGACAGAACAGACAGAACTTACAGAAACGGTCTAGAACTAAAATCTTTTCGATTTGATTTACTAGGAGTGTATCCTAAGAGTATCAACGATTTTCTGTAAGCAAGTTTCAAGAAAAAGCCTAGCTTAGCCAGCCAATTTTTTTCTTTTTTCTTTTTCATTTTTATGTGTAAAAATTCTTCTTTTTTGTTCTAAAAACTTTATTTTCGAGTTCTCCAGCATCGAATTAGTTGAAAGACAAATTTTAGTTAGGATAGCTTTAAAAATCCCTCTCGTCCCCCACTAAAACATTTTACTGAAAAAGCGTTTCATCGCGAGTGTGCTAAGAGAAGGGCATGGCATAGGCGCTTTGCGTAGTCTAGCTTTTGCTAAGAAAAAAGTCTCCAAAATACAGTGAGCTGCAGAGATGGCTACAGAGAGCCCTCATTTTGAAGCTCTAGAAGTATGCCACTGTGGTGTCATGGCTAGCATCTCAGCTCGTCAAGGGATACGGGTTCGAACCCTGCTGAGAAAATTGATTTTTAATTGAACCATTGAATACTTACTGCTCTCAGCACATAGTGACTTGCTAGTCAAATTTAGAGAGACTGAATGAACCAGCTCAACAAAGGAAAACGCAAAATTTGGCGAATTTGAAAGAGCAAAGAAAATTTCAAAGAGCTATTGTGAAAGTTCCCTTGGCTTTGGTTTCGATTTTATAGCCGAAAAATATGAGCCGGATTTTCCCGGCATCGTCAACTTCAGGACGATACACCTGCCGTAAATACTGTAATAGTACCCCACCCTCCTCGTACAGTCGAGTAGCGCTTTAGTTTTTAGCGTTTTTGTTTTCCAGAAGCTTTTCAATAGACTCGATTGTTTTTTAAAGATCTAGCTTCAGAAAACCGAAAACCATATGGTCTTGAAGAAAAGTTAACACTAAGGATGTCTCTGGAGATGGCCTTTTACGGTCTAACCGGGCCGGGAAAATCGGCCTCGACCGTGTTTCCAAAAAAGTCAACGCAAAGTTTCATTTGAGACTTTATTATTTTGTTCCTTTTGCAGACGAGCCCTCAGACGTGCTTCGGTTGCTGCCAGCAGCACACACATCCCTTGGGCGGTGCTTGCAACTCCACAAATAACTGCCTTTGCAATTGAAATTCGCGATTTGTAACTGCTTACACGTAGCCGAATTCGTTGTATACTTAAAGTCTAAAAACCAATGAGCTCAATGAAAAGCCAAAACAAACAAACAAACTTCGAACAAAAACTTTGGAAAAGATGCTCAGGGCTGAAAAATTTCTTTTGTTAGTCAGATATGTTTGTATTCGATTGGCCCCCCTTTTTTTTCATCAACGATCAACGTTTTCTCAACCAAAACACAAAAAGCCTCAAAATTACAGTGCGTAACAAAATGATAGCTTCAAATTCTATCCCACTTTCACTGTCGCGTTCAATCACTAAGAAAGACATTAAAAAGTTCTGCAAATTTTGCTAAATTTCTAAATTTCTAAACAAAAGTGAAACATACATATACAAAAATACAAAAGCGTGCACCGCTTTTAAATATAAATTTTCACTTTTATGCTTTTTGTGTTTTGGTTGAGAAAACGTTGATCACTTTTTGAACGCAAAATAAAGTGCCCCACCGATTCCCCCGAGGGATTGCCAACTCGATAATTGTAGTCCAAATTATATAATAATTCCCGCCTTCACAACTTTTTGCCGTTTTTCTAAAACCTCTAAAACCAAAGCTTTTCCAAATCTCTCAAAAGCTACTTTTAGTAGTTAGTCCCTGGTTAGTAAAGCAGATCTACTAACTAGGGATCTAGTAGATCTGCTTCACTAACCAGGGACTAACTAGGGATTGGTTTGATTGGGTTTTTTTTGCTGTCATGAGATTGATCAATTTTTTTTTTCTGGATTGGTTTTACAGGTCTAGTTTTTTTCTATGGAACATTGCCAGTAGCGACCAATAAACAAATTCAGATGCTTTGCAATTAGTCGATTTGCTTTTTCGGCTTTTTCTTTACGAATTTCATGCTCGTGTCAATGTCGCCTCAATTTTGCTACAAAAATGTAAATCAAACGACTTTTTTCACAGGGTTTTGACTTCTGACGAAACGTGGATCAACTACGAGAACGTTAAACGCAAAAATCAATGGCTATCTACTGGGCAGACCCCGCAAACCACTTCCAAACCGGATACTCTGTACGAGTTGGCTCTTCGGATTCTACTTTTAGCTACTTTTAGAAGCTACTTTTAGAAAAACAATAAACCTTTTCATTGGTAAAAACTGTAGATTATTTGATAGCTTAATTATTTCCAAAAATTAAAACGAATAAGTGTTATCAAGAATTAGTCCTCAACCTAATACATGTCATTATTAGTATAGCGCCATTTTATTGACTAAATCTAGTAAAACATAAATAAAAGCTTTCAAATCCATTTTTCTGGGCCAGGCTTGAAGCCAACCATCAGCCGTTCTTTCAATGAATCTTCGTTTCTTGAGATTTTCATTGCATTAATCCCGGTATAAAGAATAAACTCTTCAACTGCACAACTCCTAACATTCTTTACGAAATCATCAAGAACAACCCGTATTTATTTTCTTGATTTGATGGAATTTGATGGAAAGGAATGACAAGAAATTCATAAGATTAATGTCCATGAACTGAGGTTGTTATTCTGGATGAATGCGTTGAAGTTATATCTTCTTTTAGGCTGACCGACGAGAGTTTAGAGAGTCGAATTTTTGAAACAATTCTTGCTTCGTGTAAAAAAAGCACTGAAAATTCATGATTTTAAAGGAATTCATGTAAATCTGACCGAAAAGCTGCAGAACTTTCTTCCGATATGAGCCGACACCAAAAATTAGGACGATTGGCTGAAAAATCTTGTTTATAAGTAAAAGATTTGTTTTACCTGTACAGCTGGGAACCAAGCAAGAGTAAAATACATAGAGAAATACATCCAATTGAGCTCTTTATCGATAACAGTAGCTATAGAAGAGATCAATAATGGCAGATGAAGGAGAAGGATAGGGGAAAGGGCCTGGAAATTGGAAATATGTAAAATTTCTATCAGATTCCTATCGCTTATCAGAACCTATCGATGTGGGGTCGGAAAATGTAGCTGACAATGAGATCTAGTGGATGATTAGAGTGTTGAGCTTCTGCAAAAGCTTGGAAACCGTAAAATAGTCACCAACTCGGCTCGGCGCAGTGCAGTGGTAGGGAAAAATGCGGTAGCTTTTCTGCTACCTGGTATTCAACGGGAGTCTCCGTGTAGTTAAACATCGCTCCACCCAAAAAAGAGTAGAGAACCAACTTACTATTTAGATGAGCTAGGCTAATGGTCCATGTTTCATTGCCGTATTTTTCTTAATAGTAGTGCACCCTGAGCTTCGCCTAAATTACTCGAAATCTCGAAAAGCGCTTATCAGAACCTATCGATGTGGGATCGGAAAATGTAGCTGACGATGAGAACTTGACGATGATTAGAGTGTTGAGCTTCTGCAAAAGCTTGGGAACCGTAAAATAGGCATCAACTCGGCTACAAATCTAGCAAATGTAAAATCTAGGATTTATTTTAGCAAAGTTTAGGATAATTAGAAGCATAGCATCTTTGGACAAATAATAAATACCGTATTCTCTAATAGTAGTGCACCCTAAGCCTCGCCTAAATTGCTCAAAATCTCGAAAAGCGCTTATCAGAACCTATCGATGTGGGGTCGGGAAATGTAGCTGACAATGAGATCTTGTGGGGATTTGAGTGTTGAGCTACTGCAGAGGCTTGGAAACCGTAAAATAGTCATCAACTCGGCTTGGCGCAGTGCAGTGGTAGGGAAAAGTATCAAGAAAACAATAAAACAATAAACGTGACGATTTTGAGCTGAATCACGATCACAATCGAGCCGATTAGCAGAAAACAAAGAAGAATGAAAAGCATTTTCGATTTCACAAAGCTTTTCACAGAACTCATTACTTACTTATGGAAATTAGTTTGAAATTTTCATTTTATCTCTTTGCCAGGTAAACTCTTTCCAATCTGTGATTACCAGCCTTTCAGCCAAATCAATCAGCCTATTTTTGGCCCATTTACATCATTTTCTTTTCTTTCTTTTGTGCTTAAAATTACAGGTACAGACACGCGTTAAATGCAATTTTTCATAAATTTTTCTTAGAAAAGTTTGAACTTTTCCGATTTTGTCTAATTTTGTCGAAAAATTTCAATTCCAAATTCCAACCTGTCCCAACAGAGTTTTCAACATTTCGGCGTGCAAATTGCGCTGTACCACACTGAGCTTCGACGATTGAATCTGAATCGACTAAAATCTCGCTAAAAAGTTCTATTCGTAAATTCTTGAAAATTTCCAAAAATCACTTTTTTTAGAATCCAATACGTGCACAAAATCACGATCACAATCGAGCCGATTAGCAGAAAACAAAGAAGAATGAAAAGCATTAGAGCTCGAATGTTTGTGCAGAATTTATTCGTTGTTTCGTCCAAAAGCTAAAAATACTATTCAACTATCAATTAAATAACAATTCAACTTCAACTAGACAATCGGAAAACACCGAAGTCAGGTCGTTCTCTCAATTTGTTCGCTTTTAAGTAAAACAATGGTTTGAAAAGGATGCAGAATTTGCCGAAATGTACAAACAAAGTAGCGGCAAGGGGTTTCCCAGGAATTTGATCAGAGTGACGCCAAAAAGAGGGGTAAATCAGCTCAATCGCTCATCGATCCTTCTCCTTCTCCTTCTGCTTTAAGGATTGCAAAAGGGAAACCTTTATACCAAAGCAGTTTGCTAGATGGAGAGCGATTGTGCGGGCACACAAAGATCACTTTGTGACCCTTTTATAGTGATTTATAGTAAATGGTACAAACAGAAATTCAGCTGTAAAGTTGTAACGGAGGTTTTCGGGATCGGGCAATTCGATTGGAGCTATTCATTTTATTGAGTCTACCAATTGAAACTCGAGTTTAATTGGGCTAAACCTTTAGAAGAATTTGGAAACTTATTTCCATCAAAACATCTTTCTTTTCTTTCTATCAAGAGAAAACGATAAGCTTTTAGATGGATCAACTTTTAGAGAAACTTCGAAACTTATTTCCATCAAGATATCTTTCTTATTATTCTATTAAAAGAAAACGATAAGCTCATGGGCCTAAAGAAGACAAACCTCAAACGGAATCGACACAAACGAGGCGGTGTTGAAGTTATAGTTTTCGCTGAGTTGGTCCATAAAATCTTCGCATACCACTAGATTGGTTAACTGAAAAATGTACATTTCTCATTTTCCAATGATCTTTTTCAAAAGTTACCGTAAAATTTTGATAATCATCAAATTTGTTGACACACATCGATGTAGTGATACTCGTTTCGATGAAGAGAACGATCCAGAGGGCAAGAACCAAAAATGTAATAAACAACACACCGACAGCACCAAGCAGCGTGTTCTCGGGACGAATTTTGCTGAAAATTTTTTGATTAATACATAAAACATTGCTTGTGAACATTAATTGCTTATGAAAATCCTTCGAAATTCGATCTTAGCGTTAGTCAGATGAACTTCTGAATCTTTTACACCACTTAAATCACCTCAGCAAACTCAGTTTGAAAATCCGACATCACCAAAGAGCTCATTTCAAAGAGCTTTACGATTTGACTCATTTCAAAGAGCTTTACGATTTGACTCATTTCAAATCACCATGCCAATATTCTGATTGTCATTTTCTTTAGCTTCTCATCAAATCTCGTGATTCAGAAGGGATTTTTATTTAAAATACTGATCATCTGACCAATTTCAAATCACCAATTATTATCTCATTTTGTAAATAAATGAACATTCGACTTTAAATTGAATTTTGCAATTGAAATTCAATTTAAATTGAAAAAGGTGCGCTAATGGACCGGGTGTGCAAAAAAGGTTGCATTTGTTTCACTCTCTAGATTTGGATAAAAACAAGAAGTCCGGCTATTGTAGCTTTCGAAAGTTGACATGTTTTAGAAAACACATTACTTGAAAAGGATACTTTCCAAGGAAACTTTACGATTTGACTCATTTCAAATCACCATACAAATTCTGCCGTCATTTTCTTTCACTTCTCATCAAATCTCGTGATTCAGAAGGGATTTTTATTTAAAATTTTATTTAAAATACTGATCATTTGACCAATTTCAAATCACCAATTATTACCCTAAAGTCTCGAGTATAAGTTGATCCGAGTATAAGTTCTGCCTTAATTTACATTCGCTTTAATTGCTTTGAATTTCTTTTTGTTGGGTTTTTATACATTTTTATTGTTATATAAACTTTTATTATTGTTCTTGGAGCGCGGGATACTACAGGGTGACAGCCTATCACCATTGCTATTTGTTATGTGCATGGATACATCCAGACGATAGTGTTGAAGAAGACGCTGGAAAGCATCTCTTTCGACCGTCGACGTGGACTTTGGCCGGATGAAGAGGCCAGGGAAAGCATCCATAAGACTGAGCACCGGAGAGGAGCAGGGCGGACGCGCCGAGCCACGCCCGGAGCAACAAATAACAGCATAAAACTGCTATAATCCTCAATAAATTTACTTCTATTATTGTTCTTAAAAAGCAAAAAAGTTATGCTGCAGCGGGGTTCGAACCCTCGACACACCGCACTGGAGACAGCCGTCAATTTGCATGCGAAAACCAAACAGAACTTATACTCGCGACTTTAGGGTATCTCATTTTGTAAATAAATGAAAATTCGATTTTAATGTGAATTTTTCTCAAATGAACCCGAAAATTTGAGCAAATTACAGGGGAAAATTCTATCTTGGTATTTGGTATTTTGAATTGTTTTTAAAAACAAAAAAGTCAACGTTCAACTTGAATAACAGAACTGAACACAAATTGCTACTTTGCAACTATCTAATTAGATTAGAAGTCATCTAATTACACTTATTTCTTTCCTCAAAACTCACCCATAAACAATCAAACAACGATGAACGATTTGACCGGTTGCTAGAAGAACTGTCTCAAAAAAAGTGAAAGTTGTGAGATAAAAAAGGATAATCGATGTCGTTTCATCGTTCAAATTAACCGTGCCAACCAATATCAGCGAACGACCCGACAGGGTTAATTCCTGAAAAACTTGAGCCTTTCGCAATGCTTCTGGATGAATGCGTCGAAGTTGTGTCTTCTTTTAGGCTGACCGACGAGAGTTTAGAGCGTCGAAGTTTTGAAATAGCTCACCAAATCGCAAAATGAATTCAGGATTGAGAAAAACACGTTGAACCACAAAAAGCTGTACAGAATATACCGATACTTGCCGATATTCTAAACGTGAATTTGACTAAAGTCGATTCCTGGCCAGGACTAAACCCTATCGCCTTGTAGCAGACTTCTGGCTTTGTCCTAGCCTTGTCTGGCTCAAAAAAAAGCTGTAAATTTACCTGATGAGAGTGAAAAGTCGCCAAATACAAAGCAATCATGTTAAGCAACAATGATACGATCATAAAAACCCATGCGTGAATGATCAACCACAGATGTTGGTCGTTGTTATAGGAGAATACTAAAAGACTTGTATTAAACCGTTACTTTTGTACTATCGGGATAAAAAGTGGACTGATTACTGTACCGAAAAAATATTCAGACAACTACAAAATTTCAATGAATTAAGTCTACAGCGAAGTTGGGCCAGGTCAAGCTCGATCCTGGCCTAGTTCCTGGTCAAGCTGGATAGTCAAGCTCGATCCTGGCCTAATCCTAAGTCAAGCTCGATAGTCAAGCTCGATCCTGGCCTAATCCTAAATCAAGCTCGATAGTCAAGCTCGATCCTGGCCTAATCCTAAGTCAAGCTCGATAGTCAAGCTCGATCCTGGCTCTCTTACATCTGGAATCCTATCTAAAGAAACCCTGTCATTAGCTAAATTACTGTACTACACAATACCAAAATATTATAAAAACTAGACATAG